CCAAGTGCCATTCTTTGATAATATTAAAGTTGGAAACTGACAGGGCATCTGGTAAAATATTTTCAAAACAAGTTAGACATGTTTCCCTTTCAGCATCTGTAGTCATCTCACTATGCATAATCTTGACATAAATTATAATGTCATTTAGTTTTTTTAGTTTGATGTCATCGTAAAGTTGATATCTTGAAATCTGTCCATCTTTTTGAAAGTAATGACTTAATGAGTTGCTTCCCATAAGGAATATCTGGTGCAATCCGACATTGTGTTGATAATTCAAAATATTTATTAAGACCTTTTCGATATATTTAATATCAACTCTTCGCAACAGCTTATCATTACATCCAATGAGTTATTGTCAATTCCAGGACATGTGCACTTAACACCAATAACATTGTGTATTGCCACAGTCAAAAACTCTTGAAGATTTTCAAGTATCTGGGTTTCCAAATATGGCGCCCGATGCTGTGTAGTGGTAAACAGTGTGTTTTCTTCGTTTATTGCATGAGCAATCATTCGACTTTTTCGTCTTCTTATAACATTTTTAGCATTCTTGAAAATGAGGGAATTGAGGTCAGATGATGATTTTAAACTATTGAAAGAGTCCCAGCGTTTCCAAGATGTATTGAAGACCACATCATTTTGCACAAATTTCTGGAAATGGTATTCAAACGTACAAATCCTATTCCATTCTTTGCACTGAAAGAATTCTCTGTAATTGTTTTCTATCCACAGGGTATCTTTGAAGTCGTAGTCAAAATTCTGAGCATCAGGTAGAAAATGAGAAACATTTTTGTACAAGTCCAATAAAGCACCACTGTCCTGCTGTCTGCTTTTTGAATCAGATTTATCTTTAACCTTAAAGAAGTCGTTAGTTATCTGGTTTGCAATTTTAAAACAATTTTCATAGTCTTCTGAATGTTTGAAAATATACTTCAGAGCTGAATAAGTAGAAACACAATCAACACCATTTAATGTTTTGAATTGTTCATTCTGAAAACCTTGAATCTCACGCTGTATATTGAATTTGCGAACTGTACTTTTGTCATTTTCTGTTTGATTCCTTTTCATAAAAAATAAAAATCCTCAAATTTTATCCATTGTTGCGAACCCTCAAGTAAGAGTTTAAGTCTGTTAATTTCATCCTCTTACACAAAATTCACATTATCTTATGAAGTATCAGTGCATTGACTAGCTTTAAAAATATAATACACAACAATTGTTAAATTTTGAAATCTGAAAAACCTTATATAGAGAAATTTGAAATTTACTATATATAAATCCCTATCTATTGCTTCCTGTTTTTAAAACTTTGGTTAAATAAGATTAAAAATTCGTGTTTAAAACTTGTAGTACGTTTAATCTTGTAATAAAAATGATGTCACTTCCTGTAAAAGTAATTAATTGTAATATGATTCCTGGGTTTCGGTAGATAAGAGTGTAGCTTATCAGCATGTGGTGGTCATAAACTTGTACTGCAGTAATTGTTAATGACACTATTACACATCAAATGTTTCTCATGGTGAGCAATTTCTCCTGTTTGTGTGTAGGACTGTAAATGGAGTCATAAGAAATTCATTTAACTCGTAGGCAGAATCACCAAGAATGACACTTATCGTTGTAATAAGGTTTTATGAAAAACATTTCTGTCAACCTCCAACAAACTTTTTTAACAAATTGAATCTATCAGTGTCCCCAATACAAATACAAAATCTAAAAAACCTCTTTACAATCATTTAATTACTTAGTAAGCAACAAAAAAAAGCCATTAATGACAGGACTAAAATCAAGGTATTTTGAACATATTCATTTAATCAGATTCCAATTCCTCTTGAGATATAGTCTGTCCTTTTCTTACAGCTTTCTGAAATGATCAAAAGTAATACCAATTTAGCATATATAACTCTAAACCCCAGTTAGTTGTTGTACTTCCATTAATAAAGCTTTCATGTATACAAATTTCATTAAATCCATCAAGGGAAGCTATTTCATGCAATCCATGTCATTATCAAGATAGCCGAACAACATAATAGTATTTGCAGGATAAAGACAATTATAATATGCATGGTATTCATCCAAAGTATACATTGCGAAAAAATAATTCCATTGTCAAGAACATGTCTCTTAATAAACATGAAGCCTGGTTGGTCAATGTAGTATTTCCTTAAGTTGCCCAGACACTTGTTAATTAATATCTTAATTGCAAACATCCAAACAATCGATATCATACATCACATATTAGTCACAGATAAACAATCAGGAATATTTCAGCTTACCTTTTGAATTTCTAAATTTGAGAAAATCTATCCTTGATTGACGAAATTGGCTATCATGTGTTGGCACTCACTCTTTGACAACGTTCAGACACCGCGACATTTTCTACGGAATTGAGAGTCAGAATCCTGTCATAAAGTTTTGTGCTCACATAATTGAAGGGGTCATTTCCATATCACACCTAAGTCACAGTGAGTAAGTTTAGAGGAAAAGTCAAAAAACTATATATTGGTATTTATGATAAATTTTCGTCGAAACAGGTAACATATGAAAATATTGAACATTAACAAAGCTATATTTAGATAGTCCAATCTGTAAGAAGACATCTAAGGGGTAAAAAGTGAAATTTAAGATTTTATGCTTGCCATAACATACCTATGTCCATGCGTGGACTTGGGTTTGTTATGGCATTTTATTACATTTTAGTTATTTTTTCTTTCTAATGATTAATCAATGATGATGACAGTGTACGATTTAAGATAAACAACAAACATTTGTATTTTGTCTTGAAAATATCATTATAGATGAAAATATAAAAGAGCAACTCTATTTTTGACTCTTTATATGGACTGTTAAAGAAGTTATTCCATATCGCACCTAAGTCCAATTTGAGCAGTGAATAAAATTCAATAAAAAGGGACCTAAGGGGCCATCCCTGAATAATGTCACATACATTTTTTCAATCTTTACCCTCCCTGTATCACATATTGCCGGCAATAAACAACCCCACCCCCCTTCAGCACACTTTTCTCAACCATATTTAAATAGACTAGAATACCGTGTGTACTTGCAATGACGAAATGGATTGATTAAAACATTTATTGAATAACAAATACAGACTAGAAAACTAGAAAAGACTATGAAAATATTCGTGATGACACTGTTTTAAAGCCGATTTACCAGTTACTGAAACCAAAGAACAAAAAACACAAATGCAAAGTGCAACATATTTAAACAAAATCGTCACCATCATCAGAATTTTCTTCTGGCAAATTTGCATTGCGGATAGGCAAGTTTTCATAAAATTCTCTATACTCATGGAAAATAAGACCTTTTTTTACCAGAGATCCCGATCATTTGGGAGGTAAGTATGACCTCTATACAGGAAGAAATGCTGCACTGACTTATATATTTTATCTTTCACGAGACTATGTAGAAAACCAACAATAGCCTTGTTCTTATTCTGTCCGGCGCATCCATCTGAAAGAAGGACAAGGTGCTCCGCTTGGTGTGTGGTATGCCTTTGTAGAATAGTTTCACGCAAACAGGTAGCTACCTCAGATGATCCTCTTCCATCTTCAGCCTCACACCATTATGTGCATGATACCGTCCTCGGTTTTACAATCATGAATGCCGAAGTTGTAAGTCCATAGTGACCTTGCATAAAACACGTCTCCTGCAGTCACAGTTTGGCATGGTAATTTTGTTCAAAATCAAAGGTGTATACTTCGAGATTGTTATCAATTTTTGCCTGTTTAGAATAGCTACTAAGGTTGCTGTATGCTTTATCAGCTTTCTGTTGGTGTACATTTTTTTGTCCCCCAAGAGATTTTTTTAAGTCAACATCATCTGCAGCAGCAAGTATGTAAAGATTAAATTTGTCACATATGGGACAGGTATCTGAGCGCAGCTGCCCAAAACTCAGATTGAACTCTGTATAGAACATTTGCAGATAATATTTATATTTTACCTGTGGGTCCATTGACTTCCTATCATTATGGTACAAAAGTCCCTGCTCCGGTTCATATTTCTCAAGATACAAAAGCCACATCCTCTTCACAGTTAGACTCTCGTTGAGATATTGTCTGTTTCTGTTGTTTTTGCGAGAATAATGAGATTCTCGCCTTGGAAAACTGGCAATTTGGTCTTTAATTTGCTGTCGGATATCTGCAATTAAAACTGGATGTTCATGATGACCTCCTCTTCCTTCTGTGGGTGGGAGTAGATCAGTTACACTGCGAATTCTTTTGAATCTCGAGGTACCAATACCGTGGAGAGCAGTAAAAGCAGTAGCACAAACATGAATCATTTCAGTTGGGGATAGCTTTATGTTGTAAGTATATGTATATTGCTTCCCACCTTTTTTATCTGTTTTCTCGCCAGTACGAGGTCGCTTTCGCTTTGGTGCTTGACGGTTTATGCAAGCATGCAAATATATGTCTTGTAAATGTTTATCGCCCATTTCATTGAAGGAAGATAAAAATTTTATTTTTTTTACGTCATATGCAATTCCCCGGTCGTTGATAACTATATCACGGTCGATATGGAGGTTTTATATATTTTAAACATATTTTATGTTCGTTCAAACGTTCGTTACGAAATGGACACGAAAGATGTGGATATTTCATTAATGCCATTTCATAGCAGAGATTAGAAAGCATGCTGACTATTTATTACGCATTAATTTTACAATCATTTTGTAAATAAAATGGAACATCAGTTTGAGGGGATTACCTTTTTTCTGTCATACTGTGGCTGTTCAAACGTTGGTTACAAAATAGGACACGACGTGTAACGGACGTTATTCTTGTTTTGACACAATTTTTCTAGAAAAAATATTAATATTCAGAATGTTATTTTTGGTAAATTTAGTTGGGTTTTGATGGGTTGCTTTTACATACTTTCATTTTATATTAGAAAGACAGGTTAAAATGTAAGGGGTCAGAAATGTCACAACTCAGCTATTGTTTTTGTGGGACACTACAAACATTCAAAGGCATTTTTTTTTTTATTTTTCAATTTATCAATTCCAAATTATCAGTATGTCTCTTAACACTTCTCATTGACCATGAAATATTAATTCGAATAAGAATATTTTCATTTTAACACCTGCATATTTAATAACTTTATAAATTTGCACTGAGAAACGCCATATTCATATGTATTCTTTATGGGATAAGAGCCAGATGAAAAATCTGTGTTTGGCCCATAACTGATTGGTGCCACGCCTGTTCATCATCCGTCTAATACAGTTCGAAGGGCTGTGAAAAAAACGAATACTGGACCTAGAGAATAACAATTTAGTCCTGTTATTCTTCAATGCATCTGCTATTTTTCGTGACTCATAAGATTATCTCGGTCTAATTAAAATTAGACCTAACTTCCGTTCGAATGTTTCATTAGCTATAAGCTTTGTACGTAACAACTACATTAAGGTGTAACAGAATGAAAAGTATCTAACATACACAACTTAAATACCCTAGCTACATAAACATACAATTTCTATATCCAATAATGCCCTATGCATTTAACCTATGACTTCAAAAGTACAAACATTAGTGACTTAATTTTGATCACTATACAAAGAAAGTCTTTCCAGGGTATTGTCAAAGGGAACAGTAACAATATTAGGATAGTAAGAGGAAACAACTTACAAATTTTGTCCTGACTGGTTCCTCCTTCATGTTTTCACTAAGTCACCATTTCTCGAATGGTGTTGTTTGGGTGTTCAATCTTCTACAATAGAAGCCACAACACTCCCTCGTGCATCTAACTGCGATAAGGCAGTTTTAATATCATTTACCCATTCCTTTAAGATTTTTATTCTTTGGAAAATAGCAGTATAACAGTCTACAAAATAAATTGTTTACAATTTGAATTGTGATCTGAATTGAATTTTTTCTCTCACGTCACAAATATTCAAAATATGATTGCCAATTGCAAGCCATTTATCTTAGAATGCCTTCGAGTCCATAGAAATATATGGTTTGGAAATTTTCACTTTGAAATAAGCACACTTCCCTCCCAGAAATTTCACTAGAAATTGACCCACTTTTTGGATTGAAAAATCTCTTCTGCAAAATCATATTTCAAAATGATATTTTCTTTAACGGTTGTCATTTTCATCAACCCAACAACAATTTAAAAATCTCATAATTATTATGCGGTTGATATTTCTTTTCATACAAAAATAGGTCGTAGGTTATTGGCGTCGTAAGCAAATGTTAATATCTTTTATGGTGTTAAAACTGTACCAACAGAAACCTTAACACCGGACTTGAACTCACCCAAAGTAATAATTGAAATATAATTGAAACGGTATGATTCAACATTTATCTCGAGTTCAAAAGAGACACAACGCAAAAATGCAGCATTTAAAGTTGTATTAGATATATTTAGATCGATTATCTCCCTTGACTTGAATAACATAAATCTGAGTCAGTTGAGCTGCTGTCTATAACGTAGAAGCAGTGAAACATTTGCTGAATGTCAGTGGTTATGGCTAATAACCATAATAGGGTTTTTCCTGAAGAGCATCAATACACCCGAAAGGTTATTACTGATGTCGACACCGGTAAATAGAAAGTTGTTAAGAGAAAGGCCGTTTTGTTTCGCAGACTCTTTATCTTAACTGACTGTATGGATTGGTAGAATTCAAACAACAAGACGAGTGGTGGTGCTCCCTCTGCATGTCCTTTTTCGACAATGTCTTGCATGAAGGTGAAGAAATTGTCGCTTTATTCATTGTTTGACTGTTACAAATAATTCTTGTGCGACGAAGAAGCAGACCCCTATGATAGTCGGATAATCTTGGTGTACAATTTTGTCATCAACTATAACAAGAATATTTGATTGTAGGATCATTTGTGTCAGAAATATTCACAAGGATGGTCTTTGCGTATGTCCTACCCTTGAATTTGCCGCATATCTTTGTACATTTGTTATTTACTGTTGTTTTGTCATGCTTCGTCTATAGTGGGCGCCGTGGTTTGTGTTGAGATTTTTGAAATGATGCATTACACTGCAATGAGTTTTGCTGTTTCATTTATTCATCATTTATATTTACTTTGCATTCCTTTCTTGAATGGTTTGTTGACCTACAACACCATAAACATAATCGGTTTTATGTTACAAATGTTATTCTGTCCTCAAAGTACTTTTTGCTAAGCATATTTTGGATGAGAAATCTCCTTTTGGAGAGGATACAAATGGACTAAGCGCTGAAGATCTTTAGTTTTTTTCGGTAATACTTTATCTTTTTCATTGTTCCACAACATACATAATGTGATTTCACATAAGACTTGTATATCTACATGTAAAATGTAATATCAAAATATTCCAAAATAATGTAACTTTACATGAGCATGTTGTGACATTTCTTTTGTTAATGAACATGAGCTTGTGCTATTACCAAATTTTCTCCAGTACTATTACATATAACCTGTGATGTACAGTTTATAATTTGCATCACTCCTCGTTTTTAAAGCTTTCAACATTTTAAACCCGCAGATCTGTTAACTATGACAAGCTGCATACGTTTGTGTTTTTCAAAACACAAGGAAATCAAGTCTGTTGTCACTTCATAATAATAACAAATTAATAATAAAAATGGAATGAAAGGCTGAACTGTTTTAATCATAAATATTCTCACAAAAAATCAAATGTTAAAAGCAAAGCAAATAAAACATACACATGTACTCTGAAATATTGACTTTATTTTTATAAGGGAAATATTGATAAAAAGACATGACAAAGGAAAGAAAAATATACCTATAAATAAATCTATACCATTACTTATGGAATACTACACCAAATATTTTTTAAATTCTTTCTGTGTTAACTAAGCTTATTTCAGATATACATTTTTAAAAGGCTGTTCACAAACTCAATGCAATATCAATCATTTCCGTTCGTCCATTGGATAATTTCATAAGGCAATCAAATTTTTATATAAAACCAGAGGACATAAATCAAGTATTGCTTTGTAATCAACCAAAGAGGTTGCCTTCCCCAAATCCTACTTCGTATAATCCACTCAGACCTTCTTGTATTTATATATTTGCAAAGGAAGTGGAGAGTGAAATTTTGGTCAAAAATAAAAAAGTACAATATAACCAAATCGTATATACTCATTTTTACTATCAACAATTACACAGTATCCACTAGTTAATGAAAATCCATGTACGGAAACTGATCTAGAAAATTTCAAACTTTTTACATTGTTAATCTTTTCACTAACAAAGTCAAATATTTTTACCAACAAACTTTTGTGAAAAATGTTCACCTTTTTCAAAGCTATTTTCCTCTTACAAAAATAAACTACCTACTGAAAAATATGATTGGAGAAGCTGATGCTTTTGTGACAGTGTTTTTGTAACATTTTAAAAAAAACTACGTATACATCTATTAAAATAAGTATGTTTTGACTCAAATCTCATAGTCCAAACTGTAAGCATTGGTCCGAATTCTGTTATCAGATAAGGATAATGATGTACATAATGGTGTTTTGGTCTCAACGATACAGATGGGAAAAGTTTCTTTCTCTTCATTATATAGTCATCCAAAGGCTGCTGGACAATACCAACTTGATTGTATGATATTTTTGGAGTACACAAATATTCTGTGATTATTCTTAAAAGTAAAATACCTTCCCAAACATCATCATTTTCTTCCTTAACATATTTTGATATAATTATTGGTAATAGTCTCAAAAGTGTCTATATTTGAACAACATGACCTGCAATGCTATCACACTTTGCCTTTATAGGAACAGGCTTGTTATCTACATCAGGCTTTATAACGAAATAAGAAAATTTAAAGTTTTTAAATCAAACCACTTTTTCACATCAATCAAATTTTTCAAAAAAAGCGCCAACTCGTATTTAACAACTCCTTCAAACAAATCATGGCCAAGACAAGGTGGAAGTGTTTCATTGCAAACATGAAAACCAAATATATCATTGACAATGCTATTACATTTTATACTATTATTTTCTTCTATAAATTTAACAGAGTCTTTTAAATTGTTCTTAGTTCAGCATTTCTTATTTCTAAAGAGTCAGTTTCATAAGATAAGTTGGTCATTAGACAATATCTGCAGTAATATTGGCCATCAGAAAAATTGGTGCAGCATCCACCTATTAACCTTCAAGCAGTCACGTCGTTGAACCGACACATCTGGTACCTTGGGGTCAAATCTGACCCCCAAATGCAATTTGACTTTTTTTTAGACTAACGTTATTGATAAAAGAGTAGCATTTCTTCTCGTGAATTTATTGAACATTCATCTTAAAGTTAAGAATGAAATATGTAAAGAAATTGGGCACATTATAATATACAACACTATGTTGGAATCAGTTACTGAGGCTTATAATTCTAACGTTAGTCCTATCTGACTTGATAAATTTCAATACTTCACAAATTGAGTTCCATTATTTTAGATAAAGTTGCAAGCATTGATAT